CATTTCAAAATTGTTCGAGAATGCTTTAGATATTCAAAAATTGGATTAAATCACGTTCTAATAAATATGTGGCAAAACATACCATACTTCTACACAATGGTGGTGATAGTAACAATCTACCTGATAACAAATAGAAAAATGTACAGAACAAATGACCTAAAAAAAAGCCTTGAGTGATTTTTCAATAATGATCATATAGTAAAGATATCACAACACAAAATCGAAGTTATTCCTACATTTTATTTACTATAATGACATAACGGAAAATATAAAGAACTTAGATTAGTTTGAACCAATGTGACTGACACAGTTTTGATGAAGTAAATTTCGATTTGAAATTTTTGAGAAACACTCAAGTGACAATCTTGTATCACGTGATCAGTATCACTCAGGGTTATTGAGTTAATAGTTTAGGAATTAGACGCCGTTTTGTAACTACTAGATTTCCTTTAAAAGCATGAAAGGAACTAATGATCTTTTTTAGGAAATTGCGTTTTATTTTCTAATAAATGTCTGCTATTTTATTTTATCAAGGCAATGATGGAAAAATTTTCTCACTAATAACACAAAAGAAAAAAGAAAGATTATTACATATACTTTGATATTACTGATTCATTCAGTATTATTCGTTAACATATACTTATGTCGCATGTACTAATCGAAAACCATCGACTATTTTCATGATCGGCAATTAATTAACATTTTTCATTCAGTCTACATGACATAAGTAGAAACAAAATAAAAACAAACTGTTTTCTTAGAAACTGATATGAATCAAAATAAGAATTAGAATTATGTTTTGCTTTGTTTTGTTTCACAATATGTGCTTATAATTTACTTCTGAGTTAATTTTGTTTTTTTGCAAAAAAAAAACGTATTGAAGAGTCCAAAACTTATTTGTACCAATCATGTCTATTTTTTTCGGTTGCATAATTTTTTTTATTAGAAGTTCAAGGAATGGCTTAAACGTAAAAACGAGATTTGTTGCTAACAAAGTGCTTTTAGTAAAAAGAGTTAAGTTCAAANAGAAGTTCAAGGAATGGGTTTCAAAATATTAAATGAAATAAGTGATATCTGTTATGCATGGGCATGAGTTATAATTTCAGTGTTGTTCAGGTATAGACATGTACCAAACCCGACTTCAACTTCGAGTTTTGATACCGAGCATTATGGAATTTAGCTCGATTTGAACTCGAACTTAGAAGCTCGATTGAGCTCGAACTCGAAGTCGATCGAGCTCAAACCCTTAAAGCTCGAACTCGCCTGAGCTCAAACTCTAAAACTCGAACTCGATCGAGCTCAAACTGCAAAAGCTAGAACTCGATCAAGCTTAAACTTCAAAAGCTCAAGTTCGAGTCGAGCTGAAACTCGAAAGTTTGAGTTTGAGTCGAGTTCGAGTTCCATGGGTCAAGTTTGGCTTGAGCTCAGTGATGGTTGTGGATGTGGCTGTGGGCGTGTGTGCGGCTCAACTGAAGGTAATCGAGATCGGGGAATTCGAATCTGCAAGTAGTTTTTCAAAATTTTGAACTTAACTCTTTTTACTAAAAGCACTTTGTTAGCAACAAATCTCGTTTTTACGTTTAAGCCATTCCTTTTACTAAAAGAATCATTTTTCTTACAAAAAAAGAACTTTTCGAGTGAAAAAGTTACTTCCTATGTACGAAAGTTCCTTCGTTAAAAAGCTGCTTCTAGAGAAAGCAATGTTTTTCGGTAAATAAGCTATGTTCGAGAAGAAAACCAAACTCAAAATTTTGCGAGATTGACTTCAGATTCGAATACCTCGACCCCGATTACCTTCGGTTAAGCCTTATAAAAAAACTGTTATTTTCTTTAAAAAGCCTTTCTTTTATGAAAAAAGTCAAATTCAAAATTTTGAAAAACTAATTGCAGATTCTGATTCCTCGACCCTAATTATCTTCGGTTGAGCCTTACACACGCCCACATTCGTAGCCACAGCCATCACTGAGCTCAATCCAAACTTAACCCATGGAACTCAAACTCGACTCAAACTCGAACTTTCGAGTTTCAGCTCGACTCGAACTCGAGCTTTTGAGGTTTGAGCTCGATCGAGTTCGAGTACCTATGTTCGAGTCGAGCCCGATATTTTCGAGCTCAAACAGTTTGGGTTTGGTGCATGTCTGAATCAGACATCTAATTCAAGTATTCTTGGGATTCCCATGGGATTCCTGGATTCCAATGGGAGTCCCACGAAATTTCCGTGAGATTCCCGGGATTTTCTTGGGATTCGGAATCCCGAGAATCCACCGATTCCCCCTTGCATCTAAGTGTGTCTTAAGTTAATTCTTCAACAACACAGTAGGATATTGTTTTTTATAATAATTTAACATAATTTCAGTAGTACGTCCAGCAGTCAAAATGAGAAGCTTTTCTTTGTCTTTCATTCGAAAATAAGAATACGTAAGTATTATGAATGTTAAAGGTAAGGAATATGAAATTTATTTGCATGATAAAAAACTCTGTGTCACTCTGCACAAGGCTCATTGCAATACTTTATTTTATATTATCTATTATTTTATTTTATTTTGTCTTGTGAAGAATAAGAGAAACGGTTTCACACAAACTACGTCATAAGAACCAATGTGGAAAGACAAAGAAGAAAAATCTACTCGAGTATTAAAAAAAAGTGACTAGAATAAATTTGTTCGATGAAGTATAGATTAATAATTATTTTCTTTTTTTTCTGCAATGCTTATATTCTCGGTTTCTCATTTTCTCTACGATCAGAGATATTTTCTCAAAGTATAAATTACATGAATTATAAACTTTATATACTATTGGTATCGATTATAATCATCTAATAATTAGTAACATCAATCCGTATTTTTTTATAAAAGCTAAATAAGATTTTTCTTATGGTCATATGAAACATGCTATATATTTATAAGTCTCAACAATGTCGACAATAGTCAGGTATTCCTCGAAACGTGTCAAAAACCATGGAAAAAAATTGATTATTATTTTAATTATTTTAAATCACTATTTAACGTCTAAATAGAAGATCATAAGATGAGCGTATTCTATTTCGAGTTGCTTTTGTTTATCATCTATAATATAGAGAACAAGAAATTGCAAACATAGAAAGAAAGAATAAGCAATGAATAGAATTGAATGTAAAAATAAAGAATGTCATATATTTTTTAAATGCAAGGGAGTAGTCGATTTATCATAAAATCAATCCAAAAACAATTTGATTATTTTTTCTATAATAAAAGATTAGGCTCTATATATTGTTATTCATCGTATTGATTACATTGATTTAATTTAAAAGGATTTTTTGTAGTCCACGTATTATTTTATAGATAAAGAATAGATGTTGCCAATGAAATATAAGAAAATAGAATTCAAGAACAAATTATTTAAATGATTTATTAAATTATTTGTTCTTCTATAATATCCTGAAAATTTCAACGGAAAAAAATGTACTTCAATCAAGTGCTTAAAACTTTCATGTACACTCGATTTTTATTTCGTTTATTAGTTGCTCGAACCTGTCTTGAAATATTACAAAGTACACAATTTCTCGTCTATGATGTTTTCTATATTCGTATTATCTCTCAACTTGTCTATTCATTGACTGTTTCAAGTACTTCATCTTCTCTTATTTATGCTATTCTGTATTTATTCGAGCAATTAGGCTATCATGCTTCTCGTACATTTCTATTGCCTTATTTACTAGATATATGGATTCATCAAACATTCTTTCTTCAAAAACCATACTTGGTGTACTTGAACGTGTTGCTTTGATAACCATAAAAAAATAACATCATAGTATTTATTGACAAATAAACGTTGTCTCTGTTCTGATATACAACTATTATATCAATACCAATAAAAACTTCTGATCACGCACTCTTCACAGAGGCCACACAAGTGGATAGGTACTCGTCAGTACTTGAATAATTCGACATCTGTATAACACATCATCTGACACTCTATCTCTCTCCAATCTTGAGTGTTTCTGCAAGTATACCAGTGTGATTCGTCACGTGCTGCTCAGAAATTATTAGGTTGTCTTCTTGCAAATACAATTATTGAAGATCATCGTTCTCATGTGCTTCAACCTGAACAACAATTACTTCGTCCTAATTTACTTAATGCAGATTATAATAGTACTACTTCTAAAGTACAGTCACAGTCATCCAGTACAATAACTTTGGATTCTAATCTAACAAATAAATTAATTGCATCTTCATCAGAAAGTAGTAGTTGATCAGAAAAGATCGATCCAGCTAAATCAGCTACACAAGAATCATCAAAGAAAATTGATTCTTAGTGATCTCTTCATAGAAATATTCAATGAGCTCAAGCATGGAACTATATTGAGATAGAAAAAATATATTTTCTTTATATGACAATTTACTATGTAGACTTTTTTTTACATTTCACTTATTTACTCTTACTTCACGTTGAGAGTCATCTTACTTTCTTTAATCGATCAATAATTCATTAGATGTATTGAACAGAGAATTCTATTTAATAATAAGTCTTCTCGATGCTAGTATTTATGAACAGAGCAATTACTACATTTTCTCTATTTGTTGATTTGCAGTAATCATTATCTGCAAGAAACGGTTTACAATCAAACTTATTACTAAATCATAGTCCAAGACTTCAAGTACTTATTTATCGTTATTTAAGCTACCAATAGCACGAAGAATGACTTCCGCACCTTTACAACATCTTCTTTATGCAATTAATTCAAATAAAAAATTTTTCATTTTATATTATTTTGTCTCATTTATTATATAATCACATGGAAAAAAATCACAAAAGTAAATACAGAAAAAAGAATGTAAATAACAATGAATTATTGATGTATCATTTACATCAAAGTATATGTTTGCTGCATGAAAATAATGAGACATCGTTTGACTATTTTAGAGAAATAAGAAAAAACAGATATACATTTTTATCTATCTGAAAAGACAAGCCAAGAAAGTGAACATAAAAAAAAATTGTGCAAGTTCATATGAAGTATATTAATCTGTGCTTGTTCTATTAGGAATATCTGCTTGATTTGTTTCATCAGGCAATGTTGAATGCATTGGTTCATCATTATCATCAAGACCAGATGATACATTAATAGTGTGAGTTTCATCACATACATTAGTATCGTATGAATCAGCTCGACGTTCTAGAATTGAAATATTTATGAAGAACAAGGGTATGTAAGTTCAACAATACCATCACTTCCTTCATCTGGTGGATATTGCGTGAAAAACAGATCACGTCGACATAGAGGACACGATTGACGATCATTTACTACCCAAGTATCAGTACAACGCACATGCAAAACTAGAAGAAATCATATCACTAATAAGAAAAGAATAGGTACTATTATAGTTAAAAAGCCAACCATGACTACATGGAAACTTATATATTTGCTCATCCGCCTGATATTCTTCTCGACAAACAGCACAGATTTCCGAGGAAGACTCTGTGTCATATGCATATGCTGCTCTACGTAATTTTGAAAGATTTAGTTTTCGTTCACGTGTTGCATTACGTGCCCGTAAATAGTTTGCATACATCTAGAAATAAAATGTAATGAAGAAGTTCGAATTAAAATATAATCTTACATAGAATGAAAAACCAGCAAATAGTAGTATTATACCAAAATAAATTAATATCATTATTACAGCACGAACATCGACCAACTCTTCCTTTGTAATTCCTTTGTGAATACTACAACAAAAAAAAAGAATTCAAGAAAAAAGCAAATGTAAATGAAATGTATATACCGCATCATTGATTTTCTTGATGGTCTATTTCTTAGATATCTTGTGATAATTTTGAATACGCCATCAGGACTTATTACTTCTGTGAACATCACTATGTATCAAAATAAAATAACATATTTTAAAGTAGAGTACTGCACGGGTACAACTTTTCTTACCCGTACCCTACCCTACCCATAACCAACTGTACTCGTACCCTACCCTACCCGTAATCAATTGTACCCGTATCCTACCCTACCCGTAACCAACTGTAACCGATACCCGCGGATTGCAGTACTCTATTTTAAAGAATTAAAATAACTTACAATAATATAAGAGTATGTCGTGTGTGAAGAAAATCATGACAAGACCAATTAACAACATCACCAGTACTGACCAAAAAAATTGACCTTGATTAAATGTATCAATACCAGCTCTTAGAATATCTTGAATAACTTGAGAAATGTCGGCATAAAAGCCTAATGTGTATACCCGTAACATATGATTAATATTAATAAATCGTGATTGAATACCATTCTGAATACAAAAAAAAATTTATAAAACGAGACTAGATATTATCTCATTTATTTACGTACATATGCACGATTTACAGCAGTTAAAAACCATCGGTTTCGATGTATCTAAAAAAGAAAGATTTGATATATATCTAAACACATTGTTAGAACAAATATATAGTAATAAGAGGAGAATACATTATGTCTAGTCAACTGAGATGCCTAGTGCGATTGTACGCTTCACTTCTCTTCTTTTATACTGACAAATATTCTTTCTTTTTTTCTTTTTCGATAATTCTATACTTGTTTTTCTTTCTTGGAAAATATTCAAATGATTCACAATCTATATGTTCAAATACATTCTTGCGTGCGTGTTTCTTCTCTTTTCATTTCTCTTTCTCGTTCTTTTTCGGTTATCACTTTAGAATACGATAGAGCATGTGGGTCAATCATGCATTTGGCAGAGTACTGGTCTTGCTTACTTAACAATATTTCGAAACATGTTCATCGTAAACGATATGAGAAAATGTAGATTTTGAATCTTGAGAACCTAACGGTTCGTAATAGCTTCTGATTGATCCTAAAGTATATTCCTCCGATTGTATCAGAATATGTTGAAAGTTATTCAAAGTCAAAGAATATTCATTTAAGTCTGATGAGATTCGTTAAAAAGTATTCGAATTCATTGTTATCTATGAAACTCCACCATAATTTCAACATTAAAATTTAAAGATAAGGAAAGTCATCCCAATCCCAGTGGATCCTACTGGATTATTACAGATTCTAGTTACCACTGTATTAGTCATTAGAAGATATCTGCTTATCTGGATATTGAAAAGCACTGGTGCAAGACTAACGTTTGCAAGAGTCGAAATACTTTCTCATGATCTGTGCATTTTTATGTTTGACGAACACTTACCATAGCTTTATCACTTGGAAAAGCTTTGCTATATAACAATTGGATAATTAAGTACCAGTAACCAAAACTGCATTACAAATATACTCTAAATAAAAAAAAAAAAACATTTTAAAAAAATCTAGAAAAATAAACGAAATCAGTCATACGACGAAAATATCATTCATAACAATCTTTAAGATCATCTGCAATTGAAACAAAATCAGCACCAGATGATTTGTTAACCGTTATTTGTTGAAAACGTTTTTCCAATGCAGAACCATTTTCAATATATTTTCTACATTCATGAATAGTTGTTACACTAATAAAACGAAGGTTATCTCAAACTCTAAACAGATACTTTTATTAAATTATTAAATTAACAGAACAAGATATATACCTAATATCAATCACATAAACTTACTGCATCTATGACCCCTAAAAATATTTCATCAAGATTGAAAATTTCCTTTGAAAATATTGGATAAATATATATCTTCAACTATTCTATCAATAAAAAACAAAATAACATCACCATTTGAACATTCGCTGCCTTTCAAAATCAGTTTAAGAGATTGCTACTATGAATTACTGTAGCTAAAGTATTAATCATCATTTAATTTACTATTCTATCAAATTGAGAAAAATAAATTTTCTATGATAGATTATGTGTATAAACCATGGGTGCCAAATTCAAATTTTGAAAATCAGGAAATTTTTGTAAAAAAAAAACAGAAGTTTTCAAGAGATTTATTCTTCTAAAACATTAGATTTTTCTTTGAAGTTCAAGCATGATTTATGATTTTAAGTACATAAAATTTCACTTTTCGTCCATAAACTCAATTTGCTCTTCCAGATGAAGGTAATGGTAAAAGAATTTTCGTATTATTGAGTTAAAATTATACAAAGACGATCATTCATATAATAACAATATTTATCTAGTAATAAAATCTGTTTCAGACGACCTCGTTTATTAAAAAGATAGTCATAAGACTTTAGGCAAGCGTAGCGACTATTCATTTTAATTGTTAATTGCTCGAACTGAATCTCCTTTCATTTTGATGTGATTGTCACCTCATAAATATTTGATATGTAAAAGAACATATTAAAAACGACGAATTAGGTTTCTTTCTTGGATATTATACCTATGGAATGATGATATAGATCTCTAGCCTTTTTAAAATCTTTTATCCTTTTAAAATTCTCCTGTGGAGAAAAAACAAAATTTGTCAGTTGTGGATTTTGTTTTTAATCATTTATAATTCCCATGACTATGAAAGGTCTTATCCAGTTTTCCCTTGAAAAGTTGAATTTTCAATTGATTTTCTGATTTCTCACGTCAACAGATTGGTAAAGATAGTATTGGCTTTTTAATATACTTCCACCTATGGCACTGCAACATCAATTTATATTTAGTCACATAAGCTAAAATGCCTATAAACTAGATTAAAATCCTATGGGAACCAATTTTTATTGATAAAAGTTGATACAAATCGGTTGAAATCGATTTGAATTTGCCAGAATCAAATAAAGCAAATTCAATTCAAAAAAAAAAGTAAAAGCGTACCATTTTGATCGACTTTTAAGCGGAGAAAAATCGATTACAATATAGAATTTTTCCTCGTTTTTTTACATGACTGGCTTCCATCGTCAAGTAAGAAAAAAAACTAAAATCACGAGAAATCAGGAAAAGACCATGAAAATCAGCTCCTGAATTCAGGATAATTTTGATCAGGAAAAGATTCAAAAAATCAGGAGTCTCCTGGCCAAATCAAGAGATTTGACAATCCTGTTATAAACATAGAAAAACAAAAGCTGATTGATAATCGTTTCTTGACTACTATTATTCTAATCTAAATTACAGAGCTTCAAATCGTACCAGTGATATCCAACGGAAAAAATTATCAGCAAGTGAAAACTCTCTCATAGATGACATTTATGTTCCAAATTTCTTCAATCATATGAAAAAAGACCTTTCTTATTTACTTTTGCAGTTTGTTAAAAAACTTTTTAGTGCTGCTGGATTATTTATTTTCATTATTAATATCTTCTTGTTAAATATTTCATTTGATTTCACAAGAGATCTTAATACACTATGCCGTACAACGCTCTCTTCTCTTCGTAGGAGAGACGTTGTCCTCAATGACTTTTAGTTTCGATTTTTATCATCGAAAGTAGAAACCATAAAAACTTCGATTCAAGCATTCACTGACTAATTTTCTTCGAAAAACTACCAGAGTTGTAAAAAAAAAAATGTCAGAAAAGCAACGTTAAATAAGCTTCGATTTGTTTAATTAATTTATGCTATATGAAATGTACTTTTGTACACTAAAACTTCAATCTTTAAAAAGAATAAAAGAAAAATAATATTATATATATCTTACCAATTAACGCTTGCACATTTGCAATTAAGCACTATAGTAATGTATTAAACATCTTGATAAACAATACGTTGTTTCAAATTTTCAATAATTTTTTTTTCAACACTGTTTCAAAAAAGAAAAACGATTTATATTTAAAAACTGAATAATAAAATAAAGCACTTACTAATACTTGAATTACAACCAAATTATTTTTGTTCATTATAATAAAACAACTTGAATTCAATAGTGAATTTCTTGATGACATTAAAGAACTAGGTCTAATTTTTCTACTCCAGCACCTGCAACTAAATCGAAATCATATATTTATAATACTTCATATGTCTAGAAAAACAAATTATTGAAATACATTTTTATTAAAATCTTCTTTCTGATAATACTTACTTGTTTAACTTTGAAAAAAGTAACATTTTCATTTTGTATTATTCGTTTAACAAGTTCTATTAGTTTTTTACGTAAATCAACATAAATGAAACTTATTGTTGTACTTGAATCTTCTTGTGAAACAATTAAAAGATTATCAATTGAAATATGAGTATGTTTTTGTTGTTTGGATAGTTTTTTCGCTTGTTTTAATATATTCATAGACAACCAATTTGGGTAAGCTTTCGATGGTGGTAAGACTTGTTTTGATAATTTGTTCATGGCAGTAGTTCAATTCGTTGCACGACAATTCGTCAAATGACCAATTCGCCGCATATGCATTGTAGAGATTACATTAATTGAATTAAGTCATTTAGTCTAGAATGTTATTTAATTAATCACCTCAACAAAAAGTTTTTCTTTCGAATCTCAGGAATCCATTTTCAGAATACAATGGTTTTTTCAAAAATATAATAGAGATATCAATTTACAGTATTTTTTAAAACTTAATTAAAAGAAAGTCAAGTTTGATTTTATATAAAATTCTAAAGCGTATTTTAAAGTTTAATTTAAAAAAATTGAAGTTTGGTTCTAAATAAAACTCTATGTAAATAATTTAAAGATGAACTTTCTTTTTTTTTAATTCCAATGTATGTTGTCATTAAATAAAAAAATTAATTTTTTTTTGTAATTCAGATTTCTAAAATTCTTTTCAATTTTCAATTTTTCTTTTAATTTCCAGATTTTTCTTAAGAATAAAAATTAAATTTTACTTAAAAGTGAAGTTCATCTTTAAATTATTGACATAGAATTTTATTTAAAATCAAACTAACTTTTTTTAAATTAAGTTTTAAAAAATGCTTTAAATTAATATCTCTTTTGTATTTTTGAAAAAACCATCATATTATGAAAATATATTCCTTAGTCTAAAGAAAAATTTTTGTTGAAGTGTTTAATTAAATAACATTCTAAACTAAATCACCTAATTCAATTAATATATTCTCTACAACACATATACGACGAATTGTTCTGTGACGAATTGATGTCACCTTGTTCATTTTGAACATTTAATTTAACTTTGTTTATCAATTATCGTGCTGTATATTGTTCATCTTCAATAAGTACATGTGACCAATGCAATAAGACAAATGCATTATTTTTTATGTATTCTCTAAAAATATGTACATCAGATACAAGACTGTGCAGTAGAAAGATCGAAAGAAAATATGTCGAACAAAATGTAGAAAAAGAAATAAATCGAAAAATAAATTTTAGCATGAAAAAATGTCAAAATTCGAAATAAAGAAAATAGTGATACCTCCAGAAAAATAGTCACTTTCAACACGAATAATTCATGTTTTTTGTGGAACTCACATATATTTTCGAAGAAAATAGTAAGTGTAAATTTTAAATCGAGGTGTTACGGCTCTCCCCACCCCCACCCCACCCCCTAGGCTCCCGCCATTACAGACCATAGCAACGGACCCCCTATTACAGACCTTAGTAATCAATAATAAAAAGGTGTCAGATTTTCGAGTGTTTTTTTTTGGAAAATGGATCAAGTTATAATTTTGAAAAATAATGAATATCATATTTTGTGACTTGATTAATATATAAGATGGTGTAAGATCTGCTGTAGATATGATAGATATGTAAAACACACTTATTTGTCAATCAATTCAATGATTATAATAATAAGAATGTTAAATTAAGAAAAACGAATTTAAAAAGATGAAAAATAATGAGCAAATAGCAACAATGTAAACAAAAAATAGGGCGCTCGTAGAGAAAAATAAAAATTCTGTTCGAAATGCAGAAAATAGAGAGGTCATTATTCTAGACATCGATCACTCTGCAAAACAGCTATAGTGTACGAGAGATTTATCACTTTACGTATTTTGTATTAGTTTAATGAGGCTAGAGTATATATGTGAGTTCCACATTTCAGCCCCAAAAGGGTTGCGCTAACAAGATTTTTTTAATCAAACTTGTTGTAGATTTAACTTCATGATTAGTGGTGTATTCAGAAATTTCTAAAGAAGGGTACAGATGAGACAGAAATACAAAATTTTTTAGGGAAAATCTCAAGAAAAAGAGATGAAGTCAAATTCAATCTGGCTGTGATTGCAAGTATTTCCTTCCTCCCTCATGAGTCCGCTACTGATTAGGGTTACTTCTTGTCTTTGGAAAAGTTATTAAAACTGATTTGAAGTAGAAGTCATCGAAATTTTTTCTCATCAAACCATTCTTATGAATTTTATCAATAGATAAGGGAAAAGAAATCAAACTCTATATTTATTGCTTTATATTGAATGGAGAAAAAACGAAGAATAGCAAGCACTCAATGGAACAGTTTCAATATTTCTGTGGATGACAATGTTGCTGTTTTAGATTAGAAGATTCATTTATAATTATTTGTTAAATTTCCATATTCGTTTCTTACTCTACTAGCAATAAAACAAATATTCTCAAGGAATATAAAGGACGGGGGACGGTTTCTACGTAAAACAGCCCTAAATGAAAATCATTTCAGAACACTTTCCACAATTGAACTTCAACCTTTTCTACATAAGACTGAAGCGTGCAGAAGTCTTTTCGACCATTCTTTGAGACCTCTACTGGGCATTTCTAACTAGGATATTCGTAGTATCGATTTCACCATCCCGCTCAAAGGTTCATCGAAGCTGTTCACCATATGAAACTCATACTGTCAGGAGAGATAGAGCTTTTCGAGAGCTATACAATGCCTACAAAATATAAAGAAAAATTTGCTGTGCTGGAGGTTTTTCCAAAGACCACACTATCTGGATCCGATGGGAAAGTTGGTGGATGGGATAGTGTGGTTCATACGATCTGGGCTATCGCTCTTGATAGCATGACCATTTTTTCGGTGCGAATAGAGCATTTGGAGAGCCACGAAATGACTACGAAATATAAAGAAAGATTTGCTGTGCTCCGAAATTTCAAAGGGCTACACTGTCAGAATTCTATGGGAAAGCCAGTACAGGGTAGGAAATAATATTATTCCAGGGGGGTAGCACTATGATTTCAAATAGCATTAACAATAAATTTAATACCAAATGAAAGCTTGTGAAAAATGGGGTTTAGGAGTATGATTGGCCNAAAACTTGTTTCAGCAACGTCTTATAGGACTTGAAAAACACGGTTTTTAGTTTTCTGGAAATCTTTCGACTGTGACTCACTCATGAAACTCTGCTGTAGAGTGCATTAAATAGGAAACTTCATTGGCTTTCAGAATCACTATTTGGATTTGAGCTAGCTATTTAGCATCGTAGAAAAAAATCAAAAATAAAGTGTTCTTATATTTTTGTCCAGTACTGTATATATATATATATATTTGTTATTTCAGTGAATTCTTGTAAATGAATAGACGTTGATAAGTTCAGCTTTAGTTCTAATCTGAGGAAACTGTTGAAAAATTTTTTGTTGATTGACTCCGAGTAAAAATGAATGTGAGTGAAGAGTTCAATTCATTATGAAAATAAATCTGCGTTAGATTAGCCATTGATTAATTGTCACTTCTAAAAACATAGATAATTGAGTTTTTAAATCTTTTAATTTCCGAATTTAATTTTTAAGCATGTCCTTTTTTCTATTTTTCATCAGTAGGTTTTCTCCTATCATTTTCTTAATTTAAAAATTTTTGAAATTAAGAAAACTTTCAACTATTATCAATCTTTGTATCAACTTACATCTTGATCCGATGCTATAATCGATACACTAATAAGGAAATACATACTTACTCTTGAAGTTTGTCAACCAACGTAAAATAGTAAAAAAAATATGCTTCGAAAAACTACCGAAAGCTATGAATTAACATATTGTAGTTAGTACAAATTAGTACTTTAGCAAATATCAGTGCCAGTATATCAATACGCTTCAATAGATTTCTGTGATCGGTATTCTGACATATCTACTAAATTCTGTCATAGAAGTCTTGAGAAATGCAATATTCGTTTGAAATACTTCGGTTTTAATATCAATGATAAATATTTTCAAATAGTTAATCAACATTGTAATAAACCTTTCTGTTTATCTTGATACAATAGTTCATTTTCTAAAGAATCGAATGAGTTTGAAATCAGAACTAAAACAAAAAACAATTCGACTCGCTCTCTACCTATGTCATACGTTTGTTCACATTATCGACGGTTTTCGTTCGAATGAAACCACATGGATATTACAAAAAAAAAGAATTTTTAAAATCTTCTTTGGTTGTTTAGGTAATGCTTGAACGTATGATAATTGATATTTCAAAATGGATTGTAATCATTTTAATCTTTTTTATTGCATTTGCATGTTCATTATTTTTTATTTTTTTCCAATTTTGCTGTTGCTTTACAACAACAAGAGGAAATTTTAAATATATCATTAAATTATATACAACCGAAAACTCCTTCAATTATGAAATATAGTAATTTACCAATAGAAGCAAATTCTCGATGTTCACCATATTATACACTTCTAAAACAATCAATTCCAAATATAACATATTTAGAAACATTAGATAATATAGATCAAGCTAAGAATTTTTTTTGTAAGAAGATTAAAGGTTATGAGAAAATTGAAAGAATTGGACGATATCCAGCTATCTATTATTTTGGTAAAAGCTTTGGATCGACAATATTAACAACATTTTTTACTTTATTTGGAATTATTGCTGAAGATGAATTACCAGTAAGTATGAATAAAATTCTTAATTAATACATGTTTTTTTATTTTTTGTTAGGATCGAGGATATGAACTTGTTTCATTAATATGTGAAAAACCTAATAAAAATTATTATGCATCAGGTTTTGATTTATTTTCATCAAATCTTGGTTTTGTGATTTTTGATCTGTTTACATTTATTTGTGTGACAGTTCTTATTAATACTTTAATTGCTATGATGGGAAAAACCATTGATATAATTGATGATCGAGCTGATGTTGAATGGAAATTTGCTCGTTCAAGACTTTATATGGAATATATACGAGATGGTAAAAAAAGCGAGAGTTCTTTTTTTTCTAACATAAATTTTCTTTGATTGAATTGAAATCTTAATATTTAAATCAAACGATGTCAAGTTTTGAGGTTATTCTTTTTTTCTGGTGGTAAAAAATAAGTTTTTTTTTTAATATATATGATTGATCAAAAAACAAATTTCAATCTATTAAAATATATTTGATTCTTAAACAACAAGTGAAAGATTAAGTTATAAACATCATGACAGTAAATAGTCCGTTTGGAAAAGTAATGTTTTCCATCTGAGAAATGTTCCAATACGAAAATGAACTTTTCATGATTGAAATAGAGTTGTCGAGAAAAGAAATCGATACTGATTTCTACAGATTCTTTCTGTCAGAGAAGCATTTATACAGTCCTCAACAGGATGACTACAAAATTCGAAATGGCGAACTTGATCTCCATAGAAAAATTGCTTTCTTTCCTGCTCGATCGAACCTTGAAAACAATGAAGTTGAGAACGTTGCTTAACGTTTGTCTGTACGGTTTATGATTAAGCGGATAAGGGCATCCTTTCGCTAAATCCTGAATAGTCTGGAAAGGTTATTTTGCGTGATAGATCTTCTCTTTGTCTACTAAAAAGGATCAGATGAAGATGATGTTTGTCTGATGTCTAAGAATCAATCAATTCTCATTTATGACTCTCGACAATTCTTAACAAATTCAATTCAATAATAAATCAGTTCAAAATGAAAACAGTCTCAAGTCTCACAAGAGAAGTCTTCCAACTTGTTGATCACTTCTGAGCCGAGATCATGTACATCAAGTAGATCCTAATGCAATATGCATATCCTGAAAAAAGTTTGAGTCTTTAGTTTATTATGAATATTTCAGATCTTTTCTTTATTCCTATCTTGAAATTAGGAGATCGAATCCTCGGTGCATATGAGCGGTAAATAAACGACACAGTTTTACCGTAGGCGTATCTTAGGATAGAAACAACGAAAAGATTTAAAATTTTCATAATAGTCTATTCTCCTAAACACCTGCCTTTGGGGAAAGTCTCAAATCAAAATTTGAAAATCATTTTTTTTCTAGTGTTCCCGAAGAAGGATTGCAGCATTATATTAAAAAAATATCGTAAAAATGCAATATTTCGGCAGCAATAAGTTAAGAACTCGAATTCTTTTCAGAATATTCATATGTCATTAGGACCTACATGATGCAGATAGTTCTCATTCAAAAGTGATTAATCAGTTGAAAAGTTTCCCTCGTCAGTACATATCTAATCAAGGGGGAAACGGCGGATTCAGGATTCTCGGATTCCCATGGATTCTTGGAATTTTTATAATCACAAATGACATTTCCGAAATTCATATTGAACCTCTATGATCCTCGCTTTAGTCCTGAAAATCTCATAGAACTTAGTGTCAAGGCTTCACTGTTTTACCACATGGTTAGAAAAGTTGCATTAAACTATTGAGGAAAATTATTTCCTAGGCGAACTTTTTTTTCGTACGCTTGATCTATGCAGACGTCAAGGTTTATCCATAGCACATCACTTTCTTGTTCAAGAATCTCAAGAAAGCCACCTGCATGAGAGAACGAATTTCATTAATATGGCGATTAAAAGCAGTAGATATATTTTCACAAGTCGAACATATTTTCAGGTGAAAAATGTTCGATCTGGAAAGTGATTGAACCTCGAAATGGCCCTTGTTTGCATAGAGTTTTCTTTCTTATGCGCATGAAATGAACAGCCCTCAAGATTTGTCCGTTGCGCATGACATTCTTGCTCCAGATGTTCATATATTTCATGCGCATAGCCCAAGATAGTTCGTTAGGGTTATCTATTTTGTAAATTCTATACACTTAATCTAATTAGATGGGTATCAAGTCCATTTTGACAACACGACAGCTTACTTTCTTATTTTTATGGGAAAATGTCCGAGGTAGAATAAGAAACAGTAGCATGGAGTAAGATAAATTAATGAGTAATACAAGAAATATGTCGAATAAAATGAATCTATAGCATCTTATGTGTAACCTTTTATTCATTCAGTAATCTGACAGTTGAACATGTTTAAATCAATCAGATAGCAGCACAGCTTTCCTGTCTATTAAAAGGCAAGAGGATCTCTATCTATGACTATATTGTTTTTGACATCAATTTTGACATAAAAGAAAAAGAGTTTGAGAGTGAAGGAGAAATTGGCTCGGAAACTCTTATTGCATGAAATTAAGTTTTATCGCTAGCTGACAAAGAAGACGAGTTATGAATTTTGTCCTAGGATCATCTATATTTCTCTGATTTGGATAAAAAAAAGCAACATTAGATTTGAAGTACTAGCTTGACTCTTGATCCAATGAATTGTAATGATTTTCATCAGATTAGACTATACGGATTCTTTTTCACACTAGACTCGGACAAATGATCTACTTTGTTTTATCGCATATTCTCTTGTTTTCTTCCAAGCAAAATTAACACCAAATCTGGAAAAAAGATTATAGGGTAGATTTTAAACTTGACAAATAGTTTTTTAAAATTATCATAAAGGAGAAGATCATGAGATAATTTTGATGCTGATTGTTTCGAAGCAATCTTTTTCTCGTTCTTTGTGATATTTTTGGAAACTTTAATGAAAAGTTCAACTTACTGGATTTGAATGGGAGACAAAAAAGATTTTTACATGTATTGGATTGCCTGAACTTTGCTCTAATATTCGAGATCCTCATTGAGTTCCTCATTTCTATTCTTTTCGTTTTCTAGCTGTCTACTTTTTTCCCGAAGACTCAATCGGTACCTTCAAGCTTTCCTTGAATTGTGAAGGTCGAGCGATATTTATTCTTCCACAGCAAAAAAAGTAGTCCAGTCATCACTAGTCTAGACAAATTTTCTCACAAGATATGCATCAATACTAGTGAAAAAAAAAAGCTCTTCTATTTCATTTTCCCTTGTCCATGAAAGGGAAGCAAAAACCAAAGTAACATCGATTAGAACTATTCTGTTACGTTTCCCCATTAATCATGTCTATTTTATTAAATGAGCCGTATAGTGAACTAATATAAGCTAATCGGTTAGTATATCGTTCCTATCATTTGATAAAAAGTCGATAGATTATTTACCTGTTTTCTTTGTGTATTAATATTAACGCGTAGATCATTATTGATCAGTACAGGAAGAATAGTCCTGACCGGGAAACTACGACTTACTAAGTATTGGATAAAATGACAAGCCCGCAAGTTCGTCTTCGGAGCTAGTTCCTTGGTTCAATTGTAACTATATATTCTATGTCGAATTTAAAATTGTGGTTCAATTCAACCTTCTATGAATCAATATGAGCGCCATTGTGCAAAGCGTTTGAGATTTCTCACCTATTTGAACTGTATAAATAATCGTACTAGATGTCACGATTTGGCTCACATTTTTTCGTTAGATAGCAGTCGCTTGTATAGCCCAGAATGTTCAGTTACCGATATTGATGAGGGTGTGGATCTGCGTCTTCTTTCCATCCCTACGAAACATTCACATCCACACCTTTATTTTTCACATCTCTACATGGCTCTCTTAATCAATTCAGAACACTAAATTTTTGTTTCATATACTACTTGATCGGACGACTTTGGTTCTACAAAAATTGCCCTATCTACTCAGTTTTTTAACATATCGAAAATAAAGTTTAAAAGCTGTCACGTTCTAAATGTAGGCGTGAAAAAAAAATAAATATTTCGATAGACAATTTATTTTAGTTAGAAAATAAAATTTAAGAGAAAATAACTTCTGATTCTTTTAAATTTTAACCTTTTGTAATTCTTCATTTTGTAGAGAATAGAAAATTTCATAAAACAGTGATAAATGGAAAGAGTTTTGTAGTTTTTCTAATGTCTTGCACCGAATCTACTAGAATTCAAGAGTCTACCAGCACTTTATCCTGATGATCGTTGAATATTTATAAACAAACAGAGATTGTCACAAAACCCCGGAAATAGTTTTAGATCTTTTAAGGAGTTACACTAAAATTTGTTTGAGACTTATGTCAGAGGCATCATTTATTTTTTGTAATTTTACTCTGGAAAGCAATGTGAGAAGTTATTAAATTAAACTATTAATTTCATTTAAGTTGTTGTACTATTTTCTTTTTCATTAATCAGTTAGTTTTAGTAAGAGACAAATCATTTGGTGAAACCTGTTCATAATTTGGACTATGCATAAAAGAATTAGAAATAGATTTTTTAAATAGCTTTGAAATGAATAGTAAATATTGGAATTTGCAAACTAAAACCAATATTACAAATAATATTGTATTTTAAAAACTGTTTGAGATAATTTGTGCTCACATCAAATTCAATTATAAGTTAACCATTGAGTCAAAAATCAAGATATGGAAACTTGCAATGTACATAATAACACGGCACAATACAGCTGGATAAACCAATCGATGTGTAAATTAAAGTTCTAGATATCGATATGTCATGCGTTCATTTCTGTTCTTCTCTCTTTTGAAAACCATGCAAACATTCTGTAAAATGTAGACACAAAGCTTTTTTAAATTAGGAATTATTGAAATACTTACAGGATCTTGATCTAAAAATAGTGGAAAACTGCTCAGAATCCTTCTGGGATCTTGTTTTCAATTCTATCGAAATCTTTGAAATTATTGACTAAACGGTTCTCTTCCAGAATTTACGGTTTCTCTAACCGATTTCTGGTTTTAAACCTACTAGTAAATTGTTCACAATCTTGATTGAATCTTGTTTTAAACCTTGTTAGGATATTGAAATTCTGTGGCTGCATACTTTCCTTAGAATTCGATCATTTTCTCAAGAAAACACGGTGAATCATTGCGGAATTCTTGTTGGATCACTCAAGAACCTAGTGTGAACACACTAAAGATTTCACTAGAGTTACAATTAGATAAGAAAAAGGAGAGAGAAAACTTCTAGACATCTGATTAAAGAAGGTGAAATGTGTCACAGCATATGAAATCACATTGTAATTAATCGTTTTTTTTCACTCGTTCGTTACCTTTTGACACTACAGATAAAAACAGATAAAGAAGAGAAATGAAGCACTCAAGTGTA